ACCAGTTCTTGGATTTATTGATCCTTAGGATTGTGCCTGAATCCTTAGTCTGTATGTCATTTAATTCTGCTCTGATCTTGGTTATTTCCTTCCTTACTTGCTCTGGGCTGTCTTTGTTGTTGTTCCTCGAGTTTTTGTAGATATAAAGTTAGGTTGTTTGTTCGAAATGTTTCTATCTTTTTTAGGTAGGCCTGTATTGCTATGAACTTCCCTCTCAGGACTGCTTTCACTGTGTCCCATAAGTTTTGGGTTGTTGTGAGTTCATTTTTGTTTGTTTCCAGAAACTTTTTGATTTCTTCCCTAATTTCATTCTTGACCCATTCATTGTTTTATAGCATTCTATTCAGTCTCCATGATTTTGGGTGTTTGGGGTTTTTTTTTTCTTGGGTTTGGTTTCTAGTTTCAGTCCCTTGTGGTCAGAGAAAATGCTTGGTATGATTTCAATTTTCTTCAATATGTTGAGGCTTGTTTTGTGTACTATCATGTGATCTATCTTTGAGAATGTTTCATGTCCATTTGAAAAGAATGTGTATTTAGCTTCTTTGGGATGAAGGGCTCTATATATATATCAGTTAAGTCCATTTTATCTAGAGCATTGCTCAATGCTACAATATCTTTGTTGATAGTTTGTTTGGAAGAACTGTCCATTTTTGACAGTGGGGTGTTAAAATCCCCTACTATAATTGCATTGCTGTCAATATCTTTCTTGAAGTCCTCTAAGATTTCTTTATGTATTTGGTGCTCCTGTGTTGGGTGCATATATATTTACAAAGTTTATGTCTTCTTGGTGGATTCCTCCCTTGAGTATTATGAAGCGACCTTCCGGATCTCTCTTTATGGCACTTTTTTTTGAAGTCTATTTTGTCTGATATGAATATTGCTACCCTGGGTTCTTTTTCCTGGCCATCTGCTTGGAAAATTTGTTTGCAGCCCTTCACTTTCAGTGTGTGTAGGTCTTTTGTCCTGAGGTGGGTCTCTTGTAGGCAGCATATGTGTGGGTCATGCTTTCTTATCCATTCAGCTATTGTATGTCTTTTGATTGAAGTATTTAATCCATTTACATTTAAGGTTATTATTGATAGGTACTTATTCATTGCCATTTTTGTACCTGTGTTCATCTCTATCTCTCTCTTTTCTTTCCTTTCCTTAAAGCAGTCCCTTTAGCATCTCTTGCAGAGCTGGTTTGGTGTAGGTGTATTCTTTTAGAGTTCTTTTGTCTTGGAAGCTTCTTATTTGGCCTTCTATCTTGATTGAGAGCCTTGCTGGGTAAAGTAGCCTTGGTTGCTGGCCTCTGGTTCTAATTACTTGGAATGTTTTTTGCCATTCTCTTCTTGCTTGGAGCATTTTCATTGAGAAGTCAGCTGTTAACCTTATTGAGGCTCCCTTGTATGTTACTTCCTCTTTCTCCCTTGCTGCCTTTAAGATTCTCTATTTGTTTTGGAATTTTGCCATTTTAATGATGATGTGTCTTAAAGTTGGCCTCTTTGGGTTCCTCTCGATTGGGACTCTCTGTGTTTTCTGGATTTGTGTGACTTGTTCTCTCATCAAATTAGGGAATTTTCCAATCATTACTCTTTCAAATAGGTTTTCTATCACTTGCTCTTCTTCTTCTCCTGGTATCTTTATTAAGTGGATATTATCAAATTTCATATTGTCCTGCATTTCTCTTAATCCCTCTTCATTCTTTCTGAGCCTCTTTTTCTTTTCCTACTGTTTCTGGGTGTTTTTTTCTACTTTTTCCTCCAGCTCACTGATCCAATCTTCTGCTTCATCAATCCTGTTTTTTATTCCTTCTACTCTGTTTTTCAGTTCAGAAGTCGTATTCTTCATTTCCTCTAGGCCCTTGTTGATAGTTTCTATTTCCTTTTCATGTTGATATAATTTGCAGTGAGTTCATTGTAGTTTCCCTGTAGTTTCTGGTAGTTCATTGTGAGCTCATTGAGCTTCCTGATAACTGTTGCTTTGAACTCAGTATCTGATAGTCGAGTTGCCTCTATTTCATCTAGCATTCTTTCTGAGGCTTCCTCCTTTCCTTTCATTTGGGGATTGTTTCTTTGTCTTCCCATTGTTTGTGAGACTCTTCTTGTAGCCTCAGCTTCTTAAATTGATCTGGTCTGGCTCCCTGGGTGTATGGTGTGAACTTCTGTGGTAGAATACCTGTGAGATTCAGTGGTGCAGTTTCCTTGATCTCCCAAGCTCACTAGTCTTTGGCTGTCATTTAAGTTGGCTCTGTGTTTGTTTTGGGTTTTGATTGTTGTTGGGCCTGTCTTTGGTTGGTCCTTCCCACCAACTGGTTAACTGAGGGTCCCTCTGTCCATGACCCCTTGTATTTTGTGGTGCTGGTGAGGGCAGGTTGTGTTGAAGTTGTTTCTTCTGTGTGTATAGGGTTTTGAGGATTCTCTCTCGCTCTTGTTCAGTTGTTCATTCTGGGTAATTTCTCCACTATTTAGTTGTATTTCCAGATAGGTCCTGAACTGAGGTTAGTGTGGCTTCCACTCCCTCCTTTACATTCTTCTGTTGTTCTCTGTTGGTGGTTCCTTTGTTGTTGGATTTCCTCCTCCAGCAGGTATCCTAGTGTCCACAGCTTCCACCTACTCATTGGGTTTTTCAATGTCCACTACAATTTTTGGTCTCCTATTTTCATATATGCTGGGGTACTATTGGCTGTTTGCTGTGTTCCTCCATAGATCAGCTAGATTTTTCTCCCGTGTGTAGGGGGAAGTGGAATCCGCTTCCTCCTACCTCGCCACCATCTTCCTCCTCCTCCAGGATTCTATTTATAGGGCAGGTATTTCCTGGCTAGTTTTGGCAGTGTTTTATTGTGTATGTTCAATTAGTTACATTACTTTAAAGCTACTGCACATGTGGTATCCCATGATTTTCCTTGATCAGCTACTGGGGTTGTGCAATGTTAATTTAGTACAATGAAGCAGGGGTTATGTAGCATCTTCTGTGAAGGTGCATTCATGAGTCACCATGATTCAGCACATTTCTAGAAAGCAGGAACAACTGGTCTTAAAACAGGATCTCTGTCCTGTATTCATGACCTTTACCTTAGCCCTGGGGCACCTCTGGATTTTCCTCCTTATTGACTATCTCCTGCCTCATAACCTCAGTTATCTGCCATCCCCTACTAGTCTAGGAGTTACTGTGTGCCCTGTAGTCACAAGACAGTGAGTGACCTTGTTAACAACAATTGCTTAGTTCATAGCTAAGGAAAGTTGACTTCATATGTATGATCTAACCATCCTCCCCAGCTATCTTTACAATGAGAAAAATTTTAGTTTAATTTATTAGAACATGAGTAACCCTGAAAAAAAGTTACAAATATGCCATCATACTTCTTCTTTCTTACAGCTCCAAGTGGGCTTTTATTGCAATCTCTCATTCAGCCAGCCCAAATTAATGTTATCTATTATTTATCAGGGTTGTTTTTTCAGTTGAAAAGAAAGGAAGAGAAGGTAGCTCTGTGATCTTCAGGGCTACCCATGGAGAAATGACTCTGGCTTGGAGATTCAACAATAACAGGAGAGACTGTTCCATCTGCTTAGAAACCAAGGCATATCACTGCCATAAAACATCACTCACCTTGAATGACCAGTAACATCTTGTGCACCAAGAATCACCATGTAAAACACTTATCAGAGTTTTTAAAAGGTTCACAACATTATTTTCTCAAAAATGTATGGATTTCATTCATGTGATGTTTTGGAAAAGGCAAAAAGTATAGGAATCAAAATCCAAACAGTGGTTGCCAGAGCCTAGGGTGGGAGGTAAGGGTTGTCTACATGGGGACCTTTGGGGGCTGATGGAAACATTATATAATTTGTGTGGGGTAGTGGTTACATAATTGTGTGTGTTTGTCAAAATTCAGAACTGCTGTAGTTAAATTATACCTAAGTTTGACTCTATAAATATATGGATTCCAACTTCTACATCAACTTGGATTTCCCTCTATAGTCTTGATCTTTTTTTCTAACTACCTTCTCTCATTTGACAAGTTCTTCCAGCTTTAATCTTTCAACTGACTTTTGGCAGATTTATTTTTTTGGCAACCATTCTACTTTTTCAGTCTTCCAAAGTGTATGGTAGATAGTAACAGCAGTGGCAGCCTGATGCAGACCCCGGCTCATGGGGTCCACCACATTGTGGATGAGGCACGAGAAGTTCACATGGACTACCGAGTCCTGTGGAGGAAAAGGGACACCATGGCTTTTTTCTCAAGGGGAGAAAAAGCCTCAGCCCTTGCCTGGACAGACCTTTGTTTCTTTTCTGGCACATTACATGATGGTCCTCATTTACTATGCACAGGTTTGCTTTAGGTGGTTACCTTTTACAGGAAACAAAGGAGCCGATGCTGCTTATCACATCACAGAAGGATATTTGCAAATGAAAAGGAGAAAGTGTTTGAACTGGTTAGACTCATCCTTGGAAGGTTCAGCATGGATTTTAGGAAGTTACTTTGCAGTAAATGTTTACTGCCTCAATTCAGGGTAAGGGAGTTTTAGCAAAAGCAAGTCTCATAGTAGTCTAGGTACAATGCAGGCCTGATTCCCCACAGGAGAACCTATCTGTGGGCATGGGTCCTGTGCATTGGACCTCACTTCCACTGGGAGCTGGGCCCACACCACACAGAATGGTCTTTTATAGCAGCTGGCATTTATTGAACCCTGTGCCTAGAAAAAGTCATCTCCATACTCCCATAATGTTTACCCTGTTATTACTCCCACTGAATAGACCCAGGTCACAGAGATTAAGGAACTTCAAGGAGGTTGGATCAGAACTCAGGTGTACCTTGCTCCACAGGCAGTGCTCTTAGCCTATATGTCTTGATACCGTATTTCACAGTGTGCTTCTGATTCTCCAGGGTACAATTCTAGAATTATTCTGCTTTGCTTTGCAGCAGGGGTGGGGGAACATTCTGAAATTGTTTCTCATTATAACTGAGATCCTAAGTATAAAAAATATAATAACAATAACATTTTCTAGGTGATAAGAGCATTTGTGTTTTATTGTAAAAACCATATAACAACACTAAATAAAAATATTGAATAAATACCACCCACCTTTCATAATCCCACCACCTTAACAAAAATTTTTGTTTCTGTATAAGTCCTTGAAGATTTCCTCTATATACAAACCTCACACATATAAGCAGGGACACTCAACTTTGCTTTCTGGCAACAGCATATTAAAAGGACTTTTCAAAATCAGTTTGCCAACAGGAGTTCTCATTTGGCGTATTTACATTTATCATATAAGCCTTAAGTTTATACAACTCTAAACTTACACACCAAAGAACAAAGATACCCGAAATCTACTAGTATTACAATGAAAACACTCAGAATCCTCTGTGGAATGATATAAAGTAAGTAAATGAAAAAAAGGAATGCTTTTCCAGAAATCCATTTAGTCCTTATGGAGACAGGGCCACAGCATGTAGCCAGTTCCCTCTCTTTTAGCCTGTCCCCAAGAGCCAAAGAAACAATATTTGAATATAACTTTGACCTGTGTTGACCACAGCCAGAAAAAGAAAGTGATTATAATCATATTGTAGAACAGCACTCAGAGATTTATAATCCTGAAGTATTTCTGAACACCTCTGTTGTAATGAAATCTGTGAAGGGTAAATACGTTGGTCAGGACATGCTCTTCAATTCAAATGTGTACGATAATGAATATTTTTTAAGCCCTGGCTGGTGTAGGTCAGTGGATTGAGTGCCTGCCTGCAAACCAAAGGGTTGCTGGTACTATTCCCAGTTCAGGGCATGTGCATGGGTTGTAGTCCAGGTCCCCAGTAGGGGGCATGTGAGAGGCAACCACACGTTGATGTTTTTCTCTCTCTTTCTCCCTCCCTCCCCCTCTGTCTAAAAATAAATAAATAAGATCTTTTTAAAAAAGAATTTAAAAAATCACAATAGTTGATAGCTGAATCATTTGAGGGTGCCTTTTTCGACAAAGTTGTAAAGGCTATGTGTTATCTTTAATTTTTTGCTTATTAATAAACATTTTAGGTAGAAGCATCATTTAAACAGTAGACACAAAGCTCTTTATTCCACTTTGAATCTGATGACAGCCATGCACTCACACTTCTTTCTGGACAGCAGACAGCAAATGTGGTCACAGTGCTGAGGGCACCAGGTGACTTTATAGAACAGGATTCTCCCAGCCTCCATGACTAAGGACAGGTTTTCACATCTATAATTTCCCAGAATCAGTTCAGGTGGTCCACCTTCTGGGTACAACAAGCTGTTAAATAAATATTAGGCTTTCTTGGACTTAGATGTAGAGTCTGAATTTAAATTCTTAATCTAATGTAAGTACTATAAATAAGTAGCATTTACACAAATTTGCATTTAAGTCCATCCACTAATTCTGATGTAGACTAAAATCACAGTAAGTTTAGTTCATTCAGATTTTTAAAATTCACTTGGAGTTTTACCAACAGACCAGTTTTAGACAATAACCAACAAACTGTAAGATTCCATTTTAGTATTCACCAAAATAAACAACATAAAAAAAATAACGCTTTCTTGTTTAACTGCATTCTGTTAAATGTTTTAAGCTCTGGAAGGGACCTTTGAATTAGTGAGGAACCCCCGTTTCACAAATGAGGCGAGTGAGGCACAGGGAGGTCAGTGACTTGTCCGAGGTACTTGGAAAGGGAAGCAAAGCCCCTGCCCATTGCAGCTGGTCATGCCTCAGAGGAGGCCTGCACTAAAAGAAGACAGAGGCCAGTCCTGCAGCACTTTGTGTCTCTGACATAAAGACTTACACTCTGAGGCTTGCACCTTTACAAGCACTCAGAACAGAGAACTACATTCTGGAAAGCAACCAAGTAGCTAAAAACATACCCATGTGCACATTGAAAAGGAAAACACAGCATCATCAGGGTCCACATGCAAACCAGAACTCTCTTCAAGCAGAACTACTTTTTAGTCATTCAACATCACACATCCCGTATATAGCTTACTGTAAACCTTAGGTAAATCATGAAGTTTATGCTCTACTTTTATTTACCAAAAATATTTTCCCTTATAGCATTTAAAAGCATAAGCTCTTATAGCACATAAAAAATTGCAAGTAGGCATTTTTTCTCGTACAAACATATTTTCTTTTAACCAGTAGCAATGGTTTAAAGTTCCCATGATGAGAGTTTTGACATTTCAAGAGCTTGTCTTCCCAGTGGTACATAAAGCAGCACTGTTGTCCCCAGAAGAGAAGCCAGGGGTGTTTTCTATATATGTGTGCCTAACTTCACCAGAGATTTTACTTCACAATAGCACTTGACTTTGGAAGTGAAGGTCTACCCTTTAACTTATACCTTCCATTTGGGGAAGTGGATGTTCTCTGACATAGATTTCAACATTGACTTCTTCATATATACCCTATATTAAACATGTTGAACTTTTGTTTCTTTTTTTTCTATCACTTGTATCATGGTATAAGATCATACCAATTTTTTTTTTTACAAAATTAGTAACTGATATCAAACACCTAAATTAAGTCAGGCTTCTACCAGAAAGCAATTTTTTGAATTATGTGTAGAAATGAAAGGAGAAAGCTAGAGAGAGCAGGCTGTTGCTCACACAGAAAATGATTTTGCTTGCATCATAGAGCGAAAGTTCTATTAGACAATGTTATATAACTACAGATAATGCCAAATATTACTAATGTTTAAATTTTTCAGGTGTGCTCTCCATCCCTTGAGCATGCCCATGCCTTTCTTCCCTCTCAGGCATGCATCTCCTAAACTCCAAGGAACCCCACGGGACTTGCACCCAGGGGAGCAATGGGTGGCAGCAGCTTGTCCTCAGCTAACCCTATGAACCTGTCTGTACAGCCCCTGCCTATTTCCTGACTTCCCAGTGAGCTCAGGCAGCCCACCCAGGCTTTCCTGTTGCTTCCTCTATCCTAAGCCCTCCCTTGTTTCACTGTCCCCAGATTTAATAAACATATTCCCAAAATTAAAAAAAAAAATTTAAACTCAGAGTTGTTTAGGCTAACAGGTGACGTGTTAAGGGGACATTAAGAATCCTCCGTTTATGCCTGAGCCTGTGATCTTTATTGTATAGGTATGCTCTCTCCCAGGGACAATCGGCCTGTCTCCTGGAGGGACCTATTGATCGGTCAGGTCACACAAGGTCCTTGGCACACAGCCACTTTTGCCTAAATCATATATAACCATAGCCCCTAAAGAGAGACTTTGGAACCTCACCTGAGAAGAATGCTTTGCTCGGCACTTTCCCAGTCGTACTCCGAATGTTGTCTCTGGGATTCCCAGCATCTACATCCAGGTGTTAGTGAATTCCTGTCTGGTGATGTATGATCTTTTTTTTTAAAATTATTATTATTATTTATTTATCTTTAGAGGGGAAGGGAAAGAGAGAGGGAGAGAAACATCAATGTATGGTTGCCTTTTGTGTGTCCCCTGCTGGGAACTGGCCTGCAGGGAACCGGCCTGCAACCTAGGCATGTGCCCTGACTGGGAATCGAACTGCGATCATGTGGTTCGCAGGCCCGCACTCAGTCCACTGAGCTACACCAGCCAGGGCTGGTGATGTATGATCTTGATTCTTGCTTTTGCTTTGCTCTTGCTTAATAAAGTGTTTAGTTATTCACCTTTGACTTGGGGTTTTTATTGTCTGCGAATCCGAACCTCCAAATTAAGTGGCCACGATCTCTTATGTGCCCCTTGATGGCAAAACACATCTTCAGGATAAATGTGTTTATTGTAATTCAGCCTCTTCTTGTAGCATCTTACCACTAATGTCAGAGAGCAGAAGACTCTGGGAATCAGGCGCACATCTGACTGCACGTATAAGTAAATGCCCAAGGGTTTGCCAAATGGGCGGAAGGAGCAACAGCAAAGAAAACTGTCCTGACTGCTCTCTGTGGATTACATACACAACTTCTGGTGGATTGGCTGTTTCTTTAGCAGGTTCTGCTGATTTTTTTTTCTTTTTTAAAATTTATTTATTGATTTGAGAGAGAGAGGGTGGGAGAGAGAGAGGGGAGAGAGACAGACAGACAGAGGGAGAATTTGTTGTTCCACTTACTTATGCATTCATTGGTTGACTCCTCTATGTGCCCCAACTAGAGATCAAATCCACAACCTTGGTATATCTGGACATTCTAAATAACTGAGCTAACCAGCTGGAGCCTGAACAATGTTTTTTTTTTTTTCATGTACAAAACACCTTGATAATAAGAACAGAGGTCCTGGCCGGGTCGCTCAGTTGTTTAGACCATCATCCCAAAACACCAAGGTTTGGGGTCCCATCCCCAGTTAGGGCACATACCAATGAATGCCTAAATAAGTGGAATAACACATTGGTGTTTTTATCTCTCCTTTACCCCCTTTCTCTAAAATCAATCAATTTAATTAAAAAGAACAGAGCGACAGTGCTAGAAAAAGGAGAATCTATTCAGGGCTTGGTTTTTAGGGATATTTACCAATACTGGATCCAAAAAAAAAAAAATGCCCCAGCTTCCTCTTCCCTGAGACAAGACTTTGGGGAGGTGACAAAGGTTCCATGGCATGTTATATGTATACCAGAAGAGGCATAGGGGAGTTGAAAAATTTTCTGTGCCATCTCTGAAGGTACCCTGGCCATCAAGTGCAAAAGAATTTAATGTTGGCTGCTATCAGATTCACCCAGATTGGATGAGGCAGGAGTTCTTTTTAATTATCGTAAAACATGTAATCAGCCTAAGACCTTGTGAGTGTTTTAAAACCATTATCACAGACACATGCAAACATCTCACATTCTAAGTCCCTGAAACCTGTGTGCTGAGGTGGAGTGGGAGTGGGTGGAGAGGGGTGGGGCTGGAAGTACACCTTCGGGTCCGCACTGAGCCCCTGGCCAGCACTCCTGCTGCTATTTGCTTCTGCCCTTTGCCCATCCAAGTTGCCCTTGTAAAAAACTGCAAATTCACTCCTCCTGGCAACTTTTCTCATTTCTGAGGTAAAAATGAAAACAAAATTCTTGTCAGTTTTCAGCCAAACCAGAGCCTCTGAGTTTTATTCCAAATTATTGCCTTTAGGGAGTTAAATGCATCTTTTTTCTCAACAGATGCTCTCTGCAAACAGGTCAGAGGTGGCTGCCCTGCTCAGGCAAATTCCAGCCTGAGAGTCAGGGTGTTTTCTACATTTCCTTATTTATGGACAAAAGAAGCAAGGGCCACCCTGGCCTGGTAGCTTGGTTGATCAGAGCACTGTTTCAGTATGCCAAGGTTGGGGGGTTTGATCTCCTGTCAGGGCACATACAAGAAGCAACCAATGAATGCATAAATAAGCAGAACAACAAATTGATGTTTCTCTCTTGCTTCCCCTCTCTAAAATCAATCAATAATTTTTTTTTAATTTAAAGCAATGACCACTTCTGTCATCTACTCTTATGGTTTTGGTAGCTTTTGCTATGACCTTCTGCCTTCAAGATCAATTTTAAAAATAGATGCAGATGTATATTTAGTAACCAAAGTATTTAAGACTGCTATGTTTGACTCATTGGCACATATATTCGTGACCAAATATCCTTTAGGGAAAAAAACCAGCTTTAATAGTACACAATGTGGTTATGTGATTTTTCTTTAAAATGATTGTTATTTTTAAAATGGTTCTTACATTCCACGTTAAAGGTGTTAACAGTCTAACCCGGACTTGGCTAATTGGCTCAAAACCTCTGTGTGACATTGATGCCACTATACCCCATCAGGGGGCAGTGTTGGGGCAGAGTGCTGTGAGGCTCCTTCCAAAACTAGCCTTCCTACCGGCTGCTAAGCAAATTCCGAGGGATAGATAAGATTAAGAGCTCCGAAGAGGATTCCCTAGCCCTCCCCCAAAAGAAGGATCAAAAACTCTTGGTCTAGTTCTGGAACAAAAAATAAGCCACAGCGAAGGAGAAAGTCCCTGCCTATAAAGCATGCAGCCCCTCCCAAAGCTTGAACCGCTCCCAGGCTGGCGGAGAGCCCTTTTAAATAAGCAGTGTGTGCAGTGGCTCCAATCCCTTGAAGGCAGGTTCTATGGCTCCTCTCTAGTTTCCTAAGCAGAATCAGACCCTGCGCGGGAGCGCACCACCCCAAACCTCTTCTGATTTTTGTGACTAATATGAACCATCGAGAAAGCACTTTGCATGAACTGTTTGCACTCTTCTAAATTTAGGCCCCAAAGGATTAAGGTAAAACAAACAAACAAACAAAACCCCTGCTTATATCTTGTTGCAATCTGCTTCTCATTCAGAAGAATCCCCCCCCCCGCTCCCACAAAACTGTCCCACACCTCATTTGATCAACCCCTTTTTCAAACTGCCCCATGCACAGAGTAGGAGTCGTCAGCAGGGATGGTGGCACCAAACTGGGACTCAGTATAAACACGCCTCAGCAGCTCAGGCGGTAACCCATTAACTCAGAGGAATCTAAGGTCACTGTGGACGGTTTTCTATTAATAGTGGATAAAGCGATAAAGCTCCAGCGGACGTTAGCGGTAATGCCCTGCCAGCCCGCAAAAAATTAACTCCTCCCCGCCCAGTCAGAGGGAACTACGTTCTGATGGCAAATGTGTGCTTGAAACATGCGTGTACACCTACATACACAGAATTTTAGAACCGCTCCTCTTAACCACTCCAGATTCCACTCCCATCCTGAGTCCTGGAGGTAGAGATCATTCCGGGAAAGGGGTGTCTCTGGGGAAGGAGCAGTGGTGGAGGCGGGGGCCGTCAGGTGTCGGTCAGCTCAGCTTCGCCACGCACACCGCCAGGGCTACAGCCACCAGCAGCACGGCGCTGAAAACTGTAGCAGCCAGGGCCTTGCTCGGGTCGCACGGCCCTGTGCGCTCTTCTACGGACGCAAAGCCGGCCGTGGAGGCGCCAGCACTGGACAGAAGCTCGGCACCCGCCGCCTGCCGGGCTTGCACTGTCCAGCGGGGCACGTTGACCTTCATCTCCAAGTCGTGAATCATCTTGCCCACCTGAAGGATCTCCCGCTCTAGCTTGTGCAGATCTTCCTTGTCGAAGTCCCGCTCCGCCTCATGCCGCAGGCTGCGGATGCTCAGAGCGCGCGCCGCTACACCAGACGAGTGACCCGCCACACCAGTGCGCACGAGCGGCCGCCGTGGGGCGTGCAGTGGAAACGCGGTGCCCAACGCCAGTGCCCGCCGCATGTCGGCTTCCAGCAGTTCCAGGCAGCCGGAGAAGGTTACCCAGAGGCGCTGGAATTCGGCGCGCTCCTCCGCGCCCAGGCGCTGGTCTCGCAGCGCGGTGGTCAGGAGGGAGCCGGTAGCCACCGCCAGCTCCTGTGCCTTCTGGCGCGTCTTCTGCAGCTCCTCCCGCAGGTTCTGCGAGTCCGCCGAGCCGCCGATGGTCAGCACCAGGTGGTGATAGCACGCGGTCGCCTTGTTGAGCGCGTCCAGAAGCGCCTTGCACTCCTCCCTCACCATGTTGGTGAGCTCAAGCACAACCTGGTTGCCTGCGCCCCTCTCAGCTCACGCCCTCAGCGTGGGAGAATGCGGCCAGTCTCGACAGCGGCCCCGGGTTGGGCCGCTGGCACTCTCCTCATGGCCCAAGATTAGTTCCGCGCTGCAGTTCTGTCGTCGGAGCCCACTCGGGACCTGCGATGTGAGCGTCCGAGGACCGGGAGCGGAGAGAGAACCCTGTTAGCTGCCTCCCGTCCTGTCGTCCATCCTCCCAGTCACACGCTGAGTCTCTGCCTCGCCCTGGCCTTCACGGTGGCCCCGCGTGAAGCCGTGGTTGCGGTCCCCATCCTCCTCTGGTGCCGTTGCCAGGACTAGTCCGCGAGCTGCACGCTCCGTCTTAGCCGCTGCCAAGGGCGGGTCGAGTTTCTAAAGGATCCACCCACTCCCGCGCGTCCTCGTGGGGCGCTTGCATCCCCTAGACAAGGATAGGCCGGGCCCAGCGCAGGGAGGTCACGTGTAGGTCCCCCATAGCCCCCTCCTCCGCACCCCATTGCAGTTCTGGAATATTAGCGCTCGGCAGACCTAACCCTCAATTTTAGATAAGAAAACTGATGCCCAGGTAAAGTAAAGGCGGGGGGCCTAGGTCACTCGACATCCATGCAAGTGAGGGGACTAGAACCTAAGGACAATGACTCCCAGCCTCTGTCAGCGACGGGACTGGTGTGCTTCGTAGGTCTGGGCATTTCCATGCTCCAAAGCTAGCTTCCATGGAGCAGTATGGCTCCAGGGTCTCCCCATCTCCGTCCAATCCGCTTTCCAGAGACCAGGCTTGCACCCCTTCCCTAGTGTCGGAGCTGCTCTCGGCCCCGCCCTCTCTGGTCCCGGGCACGCGCAGTCGACAGCTCTGGACTAGTCCAATTAGAGCAGGAAGCCCTGTGTGCCTCCTGAGCTCTTCCCTCGGCTGGAAGGGTTTAATGATTGCTCTGCGCGCACGTCACTCTAGGTAAGGGCGGCCGCTCATTGGGCTGACTCGGGGCTTTGAGATGCAACTCCACCCAACGGTGGAGTAAGTGAGTGGGTGGTGGAGTGGGGCTACCCGCTGGGGTGGTGGGTCCTGAGGCTAGGTCCCAGGGGCAGGGAGTTGTCGCCGCAGCTTCGGGAAGGGCAGAGAGTGAAACTATGTAGCGTTTTAAGTAAGTGTTCTCTCTCCTGTCTGCTCTCGGACCTCCCTTCCCTCGGGGCGGCGGCGCCTCCAGGCCCAGAGGCCGGGCGAGGCCGGGAGCGGGAAGGGGAGGTGCTCTTTCCTCTCCACTGCTGGCGTAGCACGGCGCCCCTGGCTGGGACGGTAACCCCCGGGCGATCTCTAAGGCCCGGCCCCTGGCCTGATGGAACGCCCCGCTAGCAATCTCCGGGTCCTATCTGTAGCTGGACTCTTTCTGCCTTTTCTTTCCGGGGTGGGGTGGGGAAGAATGCGCACTTTGACCCTCGCGGCTCCAGGACTGGTCCAGCGGGTCCGGGGTCTTCAGAGTTCAGAGTTGGGGGTAGTGGGCGGGACCGTCGCTCCTGGGCTGAGTGGGCTCCGGAGTTTGCGGCCAGCCTGGCCGTGAAGGTGGAGGGGAGGCTGTAAGTGGGGGTCCAGCGCCTCAGGCTGGGCTCTCGTGGTCCCCGGGAAGAGGGTGTTGAAAGCTCGAAGGAAGAAGGGAATCCCTGCCTGCCGGCCTGCCTCTCGCGGGCGGGGGGGGGGGGGGGGCGGGGGTGTCTTACTCGTCCTGCTGGGTAAAGATTACTCCAGGAAAACTCTTAAGGACCAAGAGATATTCCGGACTGTAGGCATGTTCAGTTTCTTTCTTTGGAAATGGACTGCCCAAGAGGCGTTAGAGCCAGGCCGTGCCCCTCTGGCGGCCCCTCGAGGTACTGTGGACCCGGGCATTTGTGGCCCCGCGCTGGCCCGGGAGTAAGTGTCAAGTCTTCATCGAATATTTAGGCCGTTCAAGAAATGAGGGGTAGACTAAACTGGAGGGAGTACTAATTTATATAGCCAGCTGCCATTTTTCCAAGTTTATGGGATTCCTATAAAGAGGCAGACTCTTATTTTAAGTAATGCACCATCGCACTAGCGCTAGAAAAGAGCAGTGGATGTTAGTTTGTCTAGGACACCTGTCTAGTCCGGGTGTTGGCATTTTGGAGGATCCAGAGGGCTGGGCCTCAGTGCTTGCTGTCGTTTAGCAGTCTCATTTTTTAAAAAAATATATTTTATTGATTATGACATTACAGTTGTTCTATTTCCCCCCTTCATTCCCCTCTACCCTGCACACCCCCTCCCCCACCATTCCCCCCTTTAGTTTATGACCACGTGTCTCAAGTTCTTTAGATTCTATATTTCCAATACTATTCTTGCCCTCCCCCTATTTTCTACCTACCATCTATCCTACTTATTTTCTGTACCTTCTCCCTCCTTCTTCTCCCACTCCCCTGTTGCTAACCGTCCATGTGATCTTCATTTCTATGGTTCTGCTCCTGATCTAGCCATCCTCTTAGTTTGCTTTTGTTTTAGGTGTGGTTAATAACTGTGAGTTTGCTGTCCTTTCACTGTTCATCTTTTTTATCTTCTTTTTCTTAGGTAAGCCCCTTTAGCATTTCATATAATAAGGGCTTGGTGATGATGAACTCCTTGACTTTGATCTTATCTGAGAAGCACTTTATCTGCACTTCCATTCTAAATGAAAACTTTGCTGGATAGAGCAATCTTGGATGTAGGTCTTTGGATTTCATGAGTTGGATACTTCTTTCCAGCCCCTTCTTGCCTGTAAGGTCTCTTTGGAGAGATCAGCTGACAGTCTGATGGGAACTCCTTTGTAGGTGACTGTCCCCTTAGCTCTTGCTGCTTCTAGGATTCTCTCCTTCATTTTAATCTTGGGTAATGTAATGATGATGTGCCTTGGTGTGTTCCTTCTTGGGTCCACCTTCTTTGGGACTCTCTGAGCTCCCTGGATTTCCTGGAAGTCTATTTCCTTTGCCAGATTGAGGAAGTTTTCCTTTATTATTTGTTCAAATAATTTTTCCACTTGTTGCTGTTCCTCTTCCCCTTCTGGTACCCCTATAATTTGGATGTTGGAACATTTCAAGATGTCCTGGAAGTTCCTAAGCCTCTCCTCATTTTTTTGAACTCTTGTTTCTTCATCCTTTTCTGTTTGGTCATTTTTTCCTTCCTTCTGGTCCACTCCTTTGATTTGAGTCCCAGTTTCCTTTCTATTACTATTGGTTTCCTGTGCATTTCCATTCATTTCATTTAATTTAGCCTTCGTATGTTCCTCTAATTTGCGACTAAAATCAACCAGTTCTGTGAGCATCCTGATCACCAGTGTTTTGAAATGTGCATCTGAAAGTTTGGCTATGTCTTCATTGCTTAGATTTATCGGCTCTGGGGCTCTGAGTTGTTCTTGAGCAATATTTTGATCTGTTCATGCCTGTTACGTGTGAGGTGCAGAGCCTTAGGTATTCACCAGGGTAGGGCCACCCAGGTGGCTGGTGTGTGTCGCTGTATGTGGGGGCGGGGTCAGAGAGGGACAATGGCGGTTCCCTTTGCCACTTCCCGCCGCTGGGGACTGCGCAGTCCGTCTCACTGCTCGCTCCTTCACTGGTTTATCGGTTTGGCTGAAAGGTTCGTTGTTGTCAGACTTCTATATAGTTCAATTTTCTGTGGTTTGGCTGCGTTTTTGTTCCTAAAAATTTGTTGTTTTTTAAACTTGGTTGTGCGAGAAGGCACAGTGCTTCCACCTACACCTCCATCTTGGCGGAACTCAGCAGTCTCATTTAATGCACTGATTCAGTGACCATTTGTGGTGAGGGCTCAGGTTCTCTGGGCCTTGACCATTCTTTGCAGTGGAGGGTTTCAGCCACCCACCTATCAAATAGGTGCCTTAACAGAGGAAGAATAGTTTTTAGGACAAAATGTTAGAAGAAGGGAGAACCCATCTCTTTGGGGAGCTGTGCAGACAGTAGAGGGAGATAAGACTGCAGAGGTAAATGGGAAGCTAGAAGTGAGAGTTCATTGAGTAGGGAGTGAAGACGAAATTGTTGAGGAATCATGCACAGACCTCACTGTTGGAAAGATTGGTTTGTGGATGAACAGGTTTGAGTGACATCAGGAGGCAGAGCCTGTAGGCTTCCAAGGGAGAAGTGTAGTGTGGGAACAGGGACAGATTCTTCTGACTAAGTCCTAGTGGCAAGAAAACAGCCAGGGCTGTGAAGTTGGGTAGACACTTTTGGTGAGCTCCCTGACCTTGGCTTGTCACCTGAAGTGATCCTGCAGGGCAGTGTTGCTTGGGAAGTGAGCAGTTGTATCTGCATAGGGCCTGGGGTTGGGTCCTGTTTGTGCTTCCTTGTGGCTCTTGGATTGTGGGCAGCTGCTGGCTCTTTGCTATTCACATGTTTGTGCACTGTTAGTTATGGACTTTTCCCCTGTTTATGAACTTCCAGGATTAGGTGGGTGTTCAGTCACTTTATCTTCTAGAGGATTAAGAGGGATATGACCCTGTGATGATGGATACCTGACCTAAAAAGGATTTTCATCTGAAGAATCCAGACCTGTTTTGTCCTGTGGTTGCTTCCATGTCTGAGAGACACTGAGAGGTGTCCCTTGGAGCCCCTGCCTTTCTGCTGAAGGTTGGCAGGGAGGTGGGTGTTGTGGTTCCACACGCAACTCCAGGAGCAGGGTGGTGGAATGGCGTTCTGTGCAATAGTTGTGCCCCTCCAAACTTTCCTGCTTCCTTGGTGGTCACACCCCTTTCCAGCCATGGCCTTCTACTGCTCTGTGACCCTCCACAGTCAAGCTATCACTGTGGTTAGCCAGCTCTGAGGATCCTGTTTCTGTCTTTTAGTCAGTGCCTACATGACCGACTGGGGCCAGCCTCTCGCCTTCCACTGGATACTTCAGTTAGAGATGGCCCTTCCTTGGGAGCTTGAGCTTCCTCTAATGCCCCACCATTATTTTATTCAAATGGCAGAACAGTTACTACATGCCTACTGTGAGCCAGGCAGTCGGGTGCAAGCTGGGTGCTTTGATGAGGAGCCTTGAAAAAAATATGTATGAGATCCGTAGACATTGTAGGCCAGAAGGACACAAGTGACTGTGACACCTTATCATTATGTCATCAAATTGATTCCATTTGATATTGTATGTAAATATAAAGTTTACCCTTTTTGCCTTTTCCTTCTGAATCACAAATTAAATTAGCCCTGGCTGGTATAGCTCAGTGGATTGAGCGCAGGCCTGCGAACCAGACAAATTAAATTAGCCAGAGAATAGTGCTCATCAGTTGGAAAATATTCCTGGTCAGGATCTTTGGTCCAGTCCCTGGAAGGGTGGGAACAGCCGCAGCAGTGAGATGTCAGCAGGGAATGCATCTCTGGAAGGCACAGGCTTTCCTATGCCAGATTCTGCTGAGCCAGGCAGCATGCTGTCACCAGCAGGTCCCTGACCAGCTAGAGTCATCCAGGCTGGCAAGACAGTTGAAGACCACAAAACCACAAGTGAGCACACCAGCCTAGTGCTGGTTTGAGGCCTTGTCTAGTTATCCAGGTCAGAGTAACTCTAGATGATTCATGTTCAGGGGTATTTGATCTCTCACTAACTTTACTAGGTTTTCTGTAAACGATCCCATTATTTGAGCTTAGACAGGGGTGTGATTTTTGTAAGGGAGTTTTATAAGAGGAGTCACTCATCTTTTTAGTTTTACGTGGGAAAAGTCAGTTTACTTTGCATGATATTTTAAAATATAAAACTAATTCTTGCAAGTAAACTTGTTAGGGTATTAAATATTATTTTTAAGTATTTACTCCTAGATGAGAATTCAAGTCTGACATTACGCACCGGACTGTATGTGATTATTACGTACTTTTAACTCTAGGACAGAAAGGTTAAGAACAGTGCAGGATAGAACTGTTTGAATCCCTACTCCTGAACAGAGGGCTCAATCTTTGGCAACCAGGACTCATGTCCAAGAGAGAGCAGATGACACAGGACTGAGAAAGAGTAAACTCCATCCCATTCACCAGCAATTCATGCTAAGAGTCTTATATGTTTACACAGTTTATGCATTTGAACCAAATGTTTTGATGTGGTATTCAGGGGCCTCCTCCTACCTTGCTGCCCCTCTCAGAGCTGCTCTGTTTGGATTCTTATTATTTCCCT